TTTAAGAAAGAAGGGAAGGTGAATTCTGCTATTTATTGTGCATAATTATTATTTTAGATCTGTAATAGAATTAAGTTATACATTGATTTGCAAAGAATAAAACCTCTTAATAAGTACATTTGGTAATTCCATTATTTAAGAACATATCACTTCTTTCCATTTATAAATGTCTTTGTCGGTAAAGCTCTGTTGTTTTAAGATAACCAAATTTATTCCTTGACCTGTAATGTTTTATTACCATTATGACTGAATCTTTCTTTCTGGGGTTTATGGAGAAATTTTTATATGTATTTATCAGTCTCCTTACTATTGTGAATGGATTGCCTAAAAACGTTTGGAATAGTGGCTAATTTAGGGATAGTTTGCTACAGATCTCCCCACCTCATCTTCATGCTTTGACTAGATTAAACATTACTCACCACAACCTTCTCTTTAAGAAAGCTATTTACTTTTTTAGTGTTGCACATAAATCAATGGAATGAAAGAATTGACGTAAATAATGATTCCCTAATTCTCCCTCCTGGGGTCAAGAATAGGCTATTTTCAAGTTCTCTCCTATTGTTCCCAAGAGGGGGTGTATAATGGGTAAGGGTGAGATGATTCTTCTTGGTTGAATTGTGTTAGTTATGCGCTAACTGGCTTGTTCTCACAGGGAAATCATCAGATTAAATCAGGTTGAATACATTTTGTAGTAAAATTGCAGCCCAGCTCCGCAACCGGCTTATTTCCCTCCCTGCACTCACTAGCTCCTGTCCAGTAAGAGAGGCCCCTCTTGGTTGGCTTATTTCCTGTAAGACTGACAATGGCGTGAGAGGGAAGATGGAGAGAGAAGGTTTATATTTTATTGGTTTACTCTTCTTAAACCAAGTCAGAAGAGAGCGAGGGTGCAATTATTATAGGCTTTACTGCTCTGTGGTACTTGGGTGAGAAGTTTTTCAAAGGAAGTAAAAAAAAAAAAAAAAGAAAAGAAAAGCTCTGTGCGGTGTGCAGAGTCAGTCATCATCAGCTCTGATTCAGACACCCCCACGCTTTAAACCTTCACCACGGTTGGTGTCCCTGTTTCCTACTGTCTCTGACAATTGACTACAGACTACATCGCCTTCTCTTGATCCTGCAAAACCTGTCTGGGTGCCCACAGTCTCCCTTTTGCCTGCTTTCCATAAGAAGTGCTGACTTCTCAAACTTGGGTGGTTTCTCCAGGCCCGCAGAGTGGGGCCGCCTTCTGCGCATGCTCGCTGGCCATCTGCGAAGGCTCGCTCCGGCTGCCGCCCTTCGCGCACTGGGAGGGGCCAGGGCGCGGGTGGCGCTCGGCTGCGCTGCTGGGCGCTGGCCGTGGCCTTGGGACACTTTTGGTGGTTGGCAGGCAAGGCGTCCCCAGGGGCTGGCGGGCAGGTCCTGATGGAGTCTGTGCCCTGGTAGTAGGACCCTTGTCCCTTTAAAGCCCTCCTGGCGCCCTGGTTGCTGTTCTCCCAGGTGCTCCCCACTCCCAGCTGCCAGCACCCCTCAGTATTCTGGATGCGGCCAGAAGGGGGCAGGTCTCTTTGGCAGCCTCCCTCAGAGCTGGACAGCAACGCTCATTCACAGGCTCTCACTCTCCCTTATGAAGAAATCACGGGCCTAGAATGTTTCTCTTGGCGCTGAGCTGTGTTCATTGTGGGCAGGGGTGACAGAAGTTCCAGCACCCTGTCTGAGACTGGACACACTGAAGAGGGTTAGAGGAACAGTATCACTTTACCCTTGTCACGCGTCCCCGGGGGTAGTTCATTTCAGTTCTAACATTGCATTTGTTCTTTGCACTTTTTCAGAAGACAGAGGGATGATAAGAATAGTGAAGTCATTAAGTGAAAGCAAAACTTCGTA